GCCTTAAAAAATTAGCTTGTATGTATTCCCTAAACACATAATAAGTGGCAGGAACTAATATTGAAGGGGGTAAGAAGAAGCCAAAGATAGCTTAAAAATTCATTGTGGATAATCCATACAGTGAACAATACATGCTTTCATTTAACAAACATTTATTAAATTCCTACGATGTGCTTAGCACTGTACTAGGCACTATAGGATACAAAAGTAAAAGATATTGTCCCCTGCCCACAAAGAGCTTACAATCTAGCTGTAAGACAACACATACAAAGTGAATCTATAGTACTTGCTAGCTCTTATCATTTAGGAAGTATAAGATAATAAAATATAAAGTATGAGTAATCAGTGTAAATAATGTGAGATTAGTTATGGAAAGCTGAGAACAGATGATTTGAGTTCCATCTTAAAATAAGTAATAGACATGGAATGATTTTAGGCTACAGCAATTCCTAAAGCAAGGAAAACAGGATGAACAAAGTATTAATAAAAAAGGCAAATGAACATATGAAAAATGGTCTAAAAAGTCTGAACAAGGTGGAAGCAAAGAGTAACAAGAAATGAGATTAGCTACTTCTGAATAGCAAACTGATAGAGGACTTGGAGGGCAGGCTAAGTTTAAATTAAATCTGATAAATAAGGAATCACTATAGTTCTTTTGGGAAAAGATGCCATGAAAGTAATGTTTAATAATGTGTGCAGAATACATTGGAGGAGGTATAGAAGAGATGGGGAGAGCAACCAAGTGACTTAAAATAATTCATGTATATGATAACGGGCCAATTTGGTGGGAAGAGTGGCTATGGAAATGTAGACTTAAGGTCTGAGACATAATGCTAAATAAGAATCTAAGTAGGTGGCATTGCAGAAGGAGAACAATTCAAAAGAATTACAAGGTTGAGGTATTAGTAGATTTAGAAGATAATGATGCTGTATAGGGTAATGGGGAAATTGAGATGATGCCTTTTTGGGAACAGGGAGAAGAAAGGGAGAGGAACAATGATCATTTAGTTTTCTTTCCAATATATCAAATTTCAGGTGTTGATGTTAGGTATATCCCCTTGAGTCTATGCAGTAGGCAACTAGAAAAGTAATACTGGAAGGAGATGATATCCCTGAAGAAATGGGTATAGAGGGAAAAGAACAGAAGCTTAAAAATTAAGCCCTGATAACCAGAGTTCAAAGGTTGAGGAAAAGACCCACAAAAAAAAAGTGGAACATGTTAGAAGAACCATGGAAATATAGTCATAGAAGAAATTTTAAGGAAGAGGTGGTCATACTTGTTAAGTGGAGTTGTGGCAAAGAAATATGAAAAATGAAAGAGACCTTTTGGTTCAGTCAGGGCATTAGTGATCATTTTTAATGACTATACCTACATAGCAAGAACAGAAGCAAAGTTATAGTTCATGGATTTAGTAAGAAAATGGAAAGAGGAACAGATAACTCATTTGAGAAGGCAGAAAAGGTAGCAAAGAAATGAGGTTATTACCAATTTAAGAAACTAGGAGGCAACTAGGTGGCACAGCAGAAAGAATGCTGGGGCTGATGTCAGGAAGACTTGTTTTCAAAATTGGTCTCAGACATTTACTGCCTATATGACCTTAAGCAGGTCACTTAACCTCTGTCCAACACAGGTTCAGGTTCTTCAACTGTAAAATGTGAATAATAGCACCTACCTCCCAGAATTGTTGTGAAAATCAAGTAAGATATTTGTAAAGCACTTAGCACAGTATCTGACATATAGAAGGCATTTACAAATGTCTGTTTCCTCCATTCCAAGAAGAGTAGAAGAGAAATAGGACTGTAGTTGGAAGAAGTATCTGGATTAAGAGAAAGTTCTTCCTATTTCAGCCAATGGGTAAGCTAGAACTTTTGGCTATTCTTTTTTTTCTCTCTCTCATACTGAGGGACAAAACCTCTACTTTCATTCACTTTGCTCAACATATCTCACTTCCCCTTAACTAAGAGGAACATTAGATGTTTTAAGGTAATTGCTTTATTTATGCAGAGTAACTCTCCTAAACTTCATGTACTATGAGCACAGTATTTTATGCTCTGCATATTTCCCCTTAACGGAGAAAAACAAAATGACAGATTTTTTTTTTCACTTCATCTCCAAATAGACACAAGACTTACCCTAAAAGTAAAACAGAGAAATGTAATTTTTGTTGGGTGGCAAGGCACTTAACCTTTGTGGATCTCAGATTCCTCACTTGTAAAATGAGTAATCCATCCCTTACAGCTTCAAAATATTATGATTTTAATATACTGTAATAAAAAAAAAGTGGTTTTGGAAAAGCAGTTGTACCTCACGAGTATTGGTGGTTGACTGGGGAGGAGAATTGACTTTAAAATTAAAAAGGGAGGGAGAAAACTGCTTAAGTCCTTTTACAAAGCAAAATACCAAAGAGAGCAGCAATTATAACACAAGAAGAATAATTCACAGAAAGCAACATTTAAGCAAAACCCATGGTCTCAAGGTAGGGTTAGGGTCAACTAGAGACCTGAATGAAAGATTTTGTGGCCTGAGACCCATGCCTGGATTATAGTTCTAGAACACTTTACTGAAAAAGAACAGAAGAGATTAAAAGGGTGCAGAGTGGTATTAAACATGAAGAAGATACATTTGTATTAGGAACTCCAAAAACCACAGTGGGAAAAGTTGAGAGCATCTGGGTGAAGATCAGCAGAGGGAGAAACAGCAGTAATCCTGTCATGAGACTATATTACAGACCTGCCTGGACAGGATGAGAACTAGATAAAGAGTTCAAGAAAGAGAACACAGGAACATAATACAGTGATTCAGGATTCTGATTATCCATGTATCTGCTGGAGCTCTCTCACTGCCCAAATAAATTTTTGCTTTGGCATTCATCCTTCTAGAAGCAGGTAGGGGGGGTAAGGAGAGAAGGATACAGAGAGAATGGGACACTATTGGTTTGGACCTGATTCTTATCAACAAAGAAACAATGAGAAGCATTTTAGAATTCATGACAGCAAAGAAGATTGCCAAGTTTAAAATGCACTTTAGATTTTGGCAGATTTTGAAAGGTTCAAAGCAAGAACAGAAAGTGTCCCATGGCCCAAACTGACAGGGTAAGCCCAAAAAGGATGGAAAGGTCTCAAAGAATAAAACTCTGAAGACAGACAGACACAAATTTCAAGGAGTAAGGTGAGTCTAAAGAGGCAAATGTGGACTAGCTTTGGTAGAAAACAGGATGAATAAAAAACATGGCATGATGCTATAAAGTATATAGTCTAGAGGACTAAAGCTCAGAATAAGCTACTAGCTAAACAAGAAATGAAATTTTTGTTTTAGGTTCTGTTGGAGTATCAAAGAAGGGACAGGCCTAGTCTTGGAGTGGATTAGATGACGATGAAAAGGATGGAAAGGATAAATTCATTAATTCTTACTTTGATTTTATTTTCTCTGCCAAGGTGAATAAAGGCTGAATGTCTAATAAGGATTTGACATCCTAAGTAAGAACACAATAAGAAAGCTCCCTAACGTTATGACTTCAAGTCATCTGTTCCAAATATCAGTATCAAAGATACTGGAAAAAACTGCCAGATATGGGTGATGAGTCACTGTTAGTAATCTTTCAAAGATCATGATAACTATCATGAAGTATCTGAAGGGCTGTTAAGTAGAAGAGTCATTAGGCATTTTCTGCTTGGTCTCAGTAGGAAGAACTATGACAATGGTCAGAATCTGCAGATTTAGGCTTGTAACAAGAAAAAGCTTCCAACCAATTAAACCTATCTAAAAGTGGAGTGCCTGTCCAAGAAGGTAGATTACTCATTAGTGGATATCAGTATAGACTGTACAATCTCTTGTTGGGAATGTTTTAAAAAGCACTCTTGGTCAAGAATGTATTGAGGATGGCCCCTGGGTCTTTTCCAACTTTGAAATCCCCTAACTACAACTGTAACATTTTAGAATGTAAGCTCCATGAAGGCAAGTACTGTTTTCTAAATTTTTTTTAATCTCCCCTAGAACCTAGTAAAGAGGTCTCCTTACAGAAGGCACATAATTAATGTCTGCTGAATAAATGAAAAGGGGAGGGATAAGAGACATAACAGAGCCCCCATCAAAGATGTTTATATTGTCCATCAGAAATCTCACCCTAAGGAACAGAACATGTTGGTACACAAAATATGTCCTAAGCAAAGTCTGTATCTTAAGGAAACCAAGGAAGAATAAGAATAAGAAGAACAAAAATCTATAGGTTAGTTAGTAGGCTTGGTTCTGGAATTTTCTAAATCATTACTTAACAAGTATATATGTAAAAGGAGTTTTCTATGGGATTATCTATGGATGGGGATTACAATGGACTAAGAAAAAGGAAGTGAGGAAGGGGGAAGGGCCAAAGTTTTTGATGAGGTATTGGGTGACTACTGGAGAAGGGCCAGTGTAGAAAGCAAGCAATATGAGCTGAAACTAAATATAATATTCAAACACAGTTTGGTGAGGGGAAATTTAATTACGGAAAGGTACCATAAGATGTCACATGGGAGATTTTAGTAGGGGGCAAGGTAAAAAGAGGAGGTTTGATCTACTAAAACATATGACGTATAAAGTGATGAGATTTAAAAAACAAATATATATGAGAATCTGATTTTGTCAGTGTTAAGTAGGGAACTCCTGCTTTGGAAGGGAAAACTCCCTTCCACTACCATAGTTTACAACCCATCTATGATGTAGATAAGTCCAAGGGAACTGATTAAGTCACATATAATTGTTTGTGACTTACCCAGCATCACAAAATTATTGTCAGAAGCAAGATCTGAAGCTAAGTTTTCCTGATTCCAAGTCCAGCATTCTATCTACTATCCTATACTGCTTCTCTTATACCTCTAAATGACTGCTATCCTTTGAAAGTAGTTACATTAGAAGACCTTATAATCATTCCAATCAAGTAATTACTCAAAGCATTCCTTGAGCTTCCTTTGGAACTACATTCAGATACATTCACATGCTTTTTAATATCCTTACAAGTGGAAAATCTTTTGATTGATGGTATCTGGTTTTCAAAGACAACCCAGGAGTCTGTATCCAAGCTACTAATAAAGGGATTATCGAATTGGAAAATACAATTTTAGAAAAAATTTTGAGTTAAAACTATTAGTAATGGGCATGAGTTTCTTGAATGACTTTTAAATTGGCTCTGAAGCTAACTACAAATAAGGAGTTCCAAGGAAATTTTGAGGAGTAACAGCATCACTGGAAAAAGTGTATCGCTTTCTGGTTTCTGGTATGGTAATTTAAAATATCAACCTCATCACTTTATAGTCACACCTCATATTCTGGAAACTTCTGTGAGCAAAGAATTATGATCATCAAGTTCATGGTGTATCCCTGGTGGTTAGTCTGCCTGATGTAGAGTAAAGATGGAGGTCAATATAGTCCAGGAAAGACAGGACCTTTAAAACTGAGGTTATGCCTGGGTTATCAAAATAGATGTCAAAAGCACTGAAGTTAATAGCCAGAAACAAAGCAAAAAACAACAGTATGTACCAGCCGCTTATGTCATCTATAGAGGTTAAATCCAAGGTAGTGACAAACAACCCAGTTAACAAGTTGGATAATAGAGAACATGAGAGACAGCAGAAAAATAATGGTCCAGAAGAAATGTATATTCTTTAGACATATTTTATCTTGAGCCTCTGTTTTTTCCCAATCTGTGGCATCCTTAGTGTTATATGGCACGGGTTTAGCAGGGGGAGCTATAAAATACAGTTATCTGAACTTTGACAGAAAAACTTGGCAAAGTTTCTGCTCACCTATTTTTCTAAATTACTCTTATCATCATTACTTTGCTTTCACTTCCTTTGATGACTTCATCAAAAGTAACAGATATAATATTGTTTGTGTATCCAAAGGAGTCAATAAATAACATGACAAAAAGAAAGACCCTTTGGGTATGGTTTTTAAAATATAGCATTCTGAATTCAAATAGCAATAAAGAATTCACAAACAGTGGAGACCATCACAGAAGCATTTACAATAAAATATGGCTACATTAGCATGATAGGATTAAGTATTTTTCCAAAGTTTTCCTATGTCTTATAAAGCTTGAAGTTTTTCATGAAGCCTCATGATATTCTAAAGTAGTACTATACATCCAATTAGGGACATGACAGTCATTTCAACAAAGAATACATAAAGGAAAACTATGAGAAAGACAAAATGCAGTGGTGAAAGAAGCAGTAGCGGCTCTCAAATCCATAGCCACTTGGCTAAAACCACAGTTAAATTCCTTAGGTGGTAAATAAGCAGCTAACTGAAACACATTTTTCAATTTCAGAGAATAAACAGGCAACTTAGAAGCTCTGTCCCATTACATAAAGGAACAAAATATCAGTAAATTTTGCCCAACTTGTTCTGAAGAGCTAGTATAATGTGGCTATACCATGTGGAACCTACGATACTAGATAATAGATACGGTTATAACAGTGACTAACTTTTCACTCATTTACTACAATGATAGGGACTCTCTCCAGTGTAGTTTCAATTCAAATTCAACAAACATTTATTAAGCACCCTACTAGTTGCAAAGCACTCTTCTAGGCTCTGAGGGATGGCATCTAATTCTCTAATGGCTGAATAATGCCTGAATTGTGATTGAAAGCTTTCATACATATTATGTAGATTCAGATTTTTCTGCACTGTGTATTCTCTGATGTCGAATAAGACTCGACCTTTGAATAAAGGCCTTTCCACATGCACCACACTGATAAGGTTTCTCCCCAGTATGGATTCTTAGATGTTGAATAAGGCCTGTGTTTCCATTGAAAGCTTTCCCACATTCTTTACATTTATAGGGTCTCTCTCCTGTGTGGATTCTTTGATGTTCAATAAGGCCTGACTTCTGACTGAATGCTCTCCCACATTCACCACACTTGTAGGGTTTCTCCCCAGTGTGGCTTCTCTGATGGCCAATGAGGTGTGAGCTCCTCCTGAAAGTTTTTCCACACTCATCACATTCATAGGGTTTCTCCCCAGTGTGGATTCTCTGATGTCCAATAAGGTGAGAACTATGACTAAAAGCTTTTCCACATTCATTACATTCATAGGGTTTTTCCCCACTGTGGATTCTCTGATGTAGAATTAGGCCTGCACTCTGACTAAAAGCCTTCCCACACTGATTACATTCATAGGGCTTTTCCCCAGTATGGATTCTCTGATGTAGAATAAGTCCTGTGTTCTGACTAAAGGCTTTCCCACACTCCTTACAATGATAGCGTTTTACTTTGTTGTGGATATCCTGATGTGAAAGAAGGGCTGACCTGTAACTGAAGGCTTTACCACACACATTACACTGATATGGTTTTTCCCCAGTGTGGATTCTCCAATGTCGTACGAGGCCTGAGCTCTGGGCAAAGCTCTTCCCACATTCCTCACATTTATGTCGTCTTTCTCCGGTGGTGGGGTTTCCTCGGCGTCGGTCTAACCTGCCTGCATATTCACTAGCTTGTCCATGGTCTCTCTCAGGAACATTCCCATTGCGTTTGGCAGTTCTCTCTCCATTTGGTTCCATTTCAGCAGATATTACCTGTTTTTGAGTTAAATCCCTGTTCTCACTCCTGGTCTCACCACCTGAAACAAACCACAGAAAGCAAATAACATCTATCCCCTTAGACGGCAGAGAAGAGATTATTAGAAGATAAATAGGAAAATCTGAATGGCACATATATTAGGAGTCCAGGGCTTCACAGCAAAATGGTAACACAATACAGGAAACGAAGTACCAGGGTTCAAGTAAAAATACAGGAGACAACAGTGATGTAGAGTTAGCAGACAGAGAGGACAAAGCTCCCAGTCAGAGTTAATCAAAGAAAATGACAAAAGTAATTCTTTGTATTTACCCACTCCTAATGCTTCATCTAGATGTTATCTCTCTCATCTTAGCATGAAAGGGATAGGGGACAATGGGAAAAGCCTAGAAGAATGAAAGATGCTCTGTTAATGTGTACTGTTTAAGAATGTTTTCTAACTGTAAGTTGGAATCTAATAAACCACTCCCTTGAAAAGAACAGGGGATAGATGGTGGCAAAAGGTATATTCAGTATGCTCGGAGCAATGTAGCCAGTTGTGGTCTGAAGTCTTTAAGTATCAGGTGTTCAAAGGCTCTTGGAAGAATCTACCATCTGATTCTTGCCAATAAGCAGGGAGCTAGGGTCAGGCCACCAAAAAAGGTATATGATCAGACTAATAGAGATCATCAGTCTAGGAGGAAAGCTCAAAGTGGAAGCCCAGAAAGGGAATGGAGGTTTTCCCTTGTGACTCTGACTTCTGGAAGCACAGCGACTGGTGCCAAACTAGTGCAAAAGGTATAAAGTCAATATAACTATGTAGGACAAAACCAGTTACTACAATGCAACTTGGTAAGTCTAATGTGAGAAAAACCTGGGCCCATGAAGATAAGCTGAACTGGGGAGACTAGTCCTTGGTTTCTATTCTCACACCTGAAGGTTGAAAGAAGCAGATTGGAGAGGCTGACCTATAAACCAGACCTGCAAGATCAAACCCACAAACAAAGAGAACTAGAATTAACTTTTCATTAAGAACAAGGCCTGACACATGCCATTCCATAAGGAAGAGGAAGAAAAGGGAAACTAAAAGAAGATCCTATTTCTCATAGCTGGCATATAGGGGAAGGATTCATTCATTCTTAAGAGCTCTGTGAGTTTCCTCTTTAAAGTAGTATTGTATGTCTCCTCTAGTGTCTAATCATAAACTCTTTTAAAATAATAAACCCTGAAGAAATGTTGGGTGCTATTTTCCAAAAGCAACACAAAGGAGTAAGGAAAATGGCTGTTATAAAGAAAAGATACTTGGATTTGAGTCACTTGAGTTATGTGACTCTGGGTAATTCACTTCATTTCCTTGGACCTCAGTTTCCTTAACCTATAAAATGAGGGAATAAGCTAGACAATCTCAGAGATCCTTTTCAGAACCCACAATTAAGCTGAACAATGAGAAAAGGTACTAGGTAGTACCAGTGAGCCAAATAATGGAACTTGGGCACAGAATCAACAGAGGTTGAATGGATTGTAAAGGTAATCAGAGTCATCTAGGCCAAGCCCTTAGTTTTATAGATAAGGTGAGGAAAGGAAGAAATTATTTAATCCAAGGTTAGGTGATGCAGTGGTTAGAGCACTGGAGGTGCAATCAGAAAGATCTGAATTCAAATCCAGCCTCAGACACGTACCAGCTGTGTGACCCTGGTCAAGTCAATCAACCTGCCTGCCTCACCTTTTACAGATGAAAAAGGAATATAACAGCACCTTCCTCACAGGCTTATTGTGAGAACCAAAGTGAATGGTTCATTGTCTGACACATAGTAGGCACTTAATAAGTGCTTATTTCCTTGCTTCAATGTCACACAGGTAATTTAGCAGAGCCAGAATTCAAACCCAGGTCACCTGACTCAAAATGCAGCATCTTTTTTACTCCATCATCTTACAATTTTTTTTTTTTACCCCATAAGCTTATGGAGTGACTTGGCTTCCCTATTTTCCAGTCTTTCTTAACCCTGATCCCAATGGGAGGCAGAATGTTGTAGAAAAAAGAAAATTATTTTTGTAGTAAAATTCCAGCTATTATTTGTGTGACCTTGGGCAAGTCATTTAACTTCTCTTGGCCTCAGTTTCCTCATCTATAAAATTATAGAATTAAATTAGATTACCTCAAGCCCCTCTTCATTTTAAATCTATGATCTTCACACTTGTAAAAGGCTCAAGAGAGAAAAAGTGTAAGTTGGACTTTGGTATGAATAATGAATGGAGGAAGAGTATCAAGGAGAATTAAAGGAATGAAAGGAGAGTTGCTAAGTGAAATCCTATGGGTTATTTATGGTAAGAAGATCTAGCAAAGGTAGTAAGAATGGGAAAATGTCAAGACTGGTTAAAAAAAAGTTAAAAAGGACAAACAACAGTAAATAAAATTTGAAATCTGCATATCAGATATCTATCAGGGAACTGGGAAGATGGGTAAGGTGAGAACTAAGGAAAAAACAGAAATTTATTTGTTTCCAACCAAAAGTAACAAAATATCCTTTGGAATAAGAGAACAAGAACATGTTGCAGGAGCTCTTTTTATGGTGGCCAAGAACTGGAAAATGAGGGGATGCCCACCAATTAGGGAATGGCTGAACAAGTTGTTGCATATGAATGTAATGGAATAGTATTGTTCCATAAGAAATAATAAGCAGAAAGACTTCAGGAAAACCTGAAAAGACTTACATGAACTGATGCTGAGTGAAGTGAGCAGAACCAGCACACAGTACACAGTAATAGCAGCACTGTGCGATAACTAATTTTCATAAGCTTACCTCTTCTTAGCAATGCAAGGATCTAAGAAAATTCCAAAAGACTCATGATGGAAAATGCTATCCACACCCAGAAAAAGAACTATGGAGTCTGAATGCAGATTGAAGCATATTATCTGCTCTCTCTCTTTTTTCTGTTTCTTCTTTGTCGTGGTTCCTCCCATTGGTTCTAATTCTTTTTTACAACATGACTATTGTGAAAATATGTTTAATATGAATGTATATGTAAAGCCTATATCAGATTGCACACTATCTTGTTGTGGGGAGAGTGGAGGGAGGGGGAGAAAATTTAAAACTCAAAATCTTATGAAAGTGAATGTTGAAAATTAAAAATAAATTAATTAAAAAAAAAAACAAACATGTTGCAGGCAAGGTAGGCAGTGACTAAAAGTACTGGACTTGAGATTCAGAAAAACCTGAGTTCAAATCCTGCTTCAAACTCTTACTAGCTATGTGACTCATGGCAAGTCTCTTAATCTTCTTAACTTGCTTCTTTATCTGTAAAATGGGAATAATACCACCTACTTCAAAAGCTGTTGTGAATAACAAATGAGATAACATATTATTTCAAGGTCTTAACATTTTAGTTACCTGAGCCTAAACTCAATGGAGTCATTCTAACACTTCATGGCTACTATCCTATGAATAAGTCAATAAATTTTTAAAAAATGCTAATCCTCTATTGGCACTTACCCAAGGAGTACATGTGGCCATAACTGTCCGGCCTGCCATCGCTACAGAGGTCCTTCTGTGCTGGATCAAGAAGTCCCCACTCCTCCTGGATAAGAGACACTGCCATGTCCTCGATCTTCACCAAAGTCTGGAACAACACAAAATCCCCACTGAGGCCTGCTGCCCCAAAAGGTATAGTCCCACTACTATAACCCAGAGTAAGGAAATGAACCAGCAGAATCAGTGTAGAACAAAAAGGAAGACAGTATATTTGATGAAATGGGTAGAGTGTTAGGTTGAAATGGGGAGAAAAACAGAAAAAGTGATCAACAGAAAACCAGAATGGATCTCTCCGGGAATAAGTATTTAGGGTAAATACTCTAGGTAGAATCCACTAGAAGCTTCACGATGAAGACAAAGAATCAAGTAGCAGCTACACTGTCTTAATGAGGAGTACAGCAGACCACAGCTCACCTGGAACCCAGCTGTAAGAAGTGCAGCTGCCATCTCCTGGTCTCGTGGGTTTCCCTTCTGAGACGAAGCAGGAACCTGGGGAATGGGCAGAACTAAGAGAAAAGAAAAGAAGGCATGAATAGTATTAGCCTTGTCCTCAGGCCTCTCCTCATTAGGAGCTTGTGGGATTTTGAATTAACTACCCATCAATTTCAAACCTGTCTCTTATATTTCTAAAATGTACAATGAAGTTTTATATTTCAGGCTTCTTCCATTCTATACTTATTACAGAACTTACTTTATACTTTAAATGAGACTCTCTTTTCAATTTCTCCATTACTATTAATAGCATGACCAAGTGTGAAAAGTATCCCCCTACTGCTTGTGTCTCAATGTAATATCTCTTGGATCCAGATCTTTGATCAACTGTCCAATTGACCAGGGAACCTACCTGCAGAACTAATTTAATTAATGCTTTCTCTGATGTCTCCTTTAACCTCCAGTGCCCACTTTCTATCAATCAACACAGATCTACCCAGTTTAGAGTTTCAAGCTTCAGAGCTTTTGCTATGAAAGTTCACATTTAGTAGTCTGAGTAGGAATGAAAGCGTAAACTAAGTGAAATCACACGGTTCCATGGTGAAAAGATCTAACAAAAGTAATGCATAAATGGTAAACATGCTCTACTGTAGAAGCAGAGGAACGTGAACAGATGAGGTGAGATCCTTGTGGTATTCTTACTGCCTTTTTGAACTCAGTGGGTTACTAACCTTCCCTAATACATGTGATTTTATTTACATACATACACACACACACGCGCACACACACACACACACACACACACACACACACACACACACGACTGTCGGTAGGCTAGACAGAGATGCAATGTATTTATCTTCAGGTTCTTCTTCACTGCAATCTTCTCAGAAGTATGAAAGAAAGGTACTGGGCTCCTCTCTGTGGCATAAAAAAAACATTAGGAGTTTATTATTATATCTGTCAGGGTTAGAACTCTTCAGTTCTACTTCCTTTTCCCACAAATTATTCAAATAAAAGCTGTCATGTTTCCTTTGTTCTTAGTAAACTAAATAGTTTAAGCTCATCTAGGAAATGAAGTGGTGATCACAAAGATGGACTAAATGACAGTATAATGAGAAAACTTCAGAACTAGTTGAATAGCTTGACTCAAAGAGTTGGTTCCATGTCAATCCAGAAGAGTTCTGGCTTGGTTCTGTGCTGCTGAACGTTTTCATAAGTAATTTTGGTAAAGTTATAGATAATAAATATCATAGATTTGGAGGTAGGATCCAACATCTCCATTTTATAGAAAAGGAAACTGGGACCTAAAAATGTTAAGTGAATTGTCTGAGGTCACATAAGTAGCAAGTGGCAGAGCCAGGATTTGTATCAAGGTCTCAGACTCCAAATCCAGTGCTCTCTTATCCAATGAGCAGACAATGTAAAGCTGGAAAGAATACCTAATAGATTGGATGATATTTAGGATCTAAAAAGATCTTGACAGATAAACTTTGAAATCTAAAACAAATTAAATTAAGATAAATCTTAAGTTAAAAAAAACCTTCAAAAATGTATGCTTGGGGAGGCATGATTAGACAACAGTCTATCTAAATAAGATCCAGGGGTTTTAGTGGACTATTGTTGTTTCTCGTCCTTTGGGGACCATAAGATCAGGGAGGTGATGCCATGACACCCAAGTGAATTGGATTTAAATGAGGGAGGGCTCTACAAAGTCACCAGCTTCTCTTTCTCCTCAGGAGCCATCTGGACAATGAAGGACAAACAACCTGTTTGAGTAGTAGGAGCTGCCCCACTGCAGACCCAGCTGGAACTTCCTAACTTCCTTCCTTCCTTCCCTGGGGGTGCTTTGCCCAAAGGAATTAAATTTTGATCTCTGAAATCTCACAAGATTTTACCAGCTAGATTTCTTTCTTAAGGTCCAAGCCTTAAACCCAAATCACTGGCTCTCATTGATTGGTCAACAATAGGCCCCAAGCCAAGCCCCACTTGGCCATTGTCTGGGCCTGGATTGGCTCTGAGTGAATGTAAATAGCAATTGTTTCTATTTTGGCCAGAAACTCTGAGGGTCTTCCCCTCCCAGACTGATTTTTTTTTTTTTGGAACTAGGTAAAAGAGGCCATTTTTTGCATCCTTTCTTACCTAGCCTTAATCACTGAACGGGCACTGTCTCAGTCAAACTGAGATCTATTAAAGATCTAAGCTTAAAAAGGCGAAGGTCTCCCACTGTATCCAGGGCCATCTCCAGTCATCCTGATCTAGAGGACTATAAGCTGAATATGACCCAACAATATGACAGGGCAGTCAAAAAAGTCACTACGATCATGGACTGCATTGTTAGACACTGCTTCTAGGAATAAGGAAATGATGCTCTGATTTAGTCAGACTATATTCGGTTTTGGGAACATCAGTTAAGGAAGAACATGGACAAGCTGGTGAGCATGCAGTGGAAACCAGTAAGAATAGTGAAGGGCCTTGAGTTCATTCCATATTGGTTAAAGGAACTGAGAATGTTTTGCCTAGAGATAACATGATCTATGACTTCAACTACATGAAAAAGGAATATGACTTATTCTAGGAGAAACGGGAAGTTACAAAAAAGCAAATTTAGGCTTGGCATAATGAAAAACTTCCCCAAAATGCAAAAATGGAATAGCTAACTAGGCAGGAAGTAGGGTTCCCCTCATCAAAGGTCCTGAAGCAAAGGTCAAATGGCAAGTATTTATGCTGTGGTGGGCATTCTTTTTCAGGATAGGGTTGGGCTAGATGGTCACTCAATTTCTCTCCAATTCTGAAATTCTGTAATTATGATTTCATACCTTATCAATAAGGTCTGTACCTGATAAGTTACTGTTTAATCAAAGTATTTCCGGTTCTTCAATTGAATCAACTCTTTCCACCAAGTTAATGTAGTACCTTTCTACCGGTCTCAAGGTATAGACAGAAAGCAACAGTTCAATGTTATTTGTTTCAGGTACTAGATGCTTGTTTTATTCCATAAATTAAAAAATAAAAAAAGAATGCTTTTCTTAAGATAGGACTTAAAAAAAAAACTATCTAAAGAGCTTCCCTGCCACCACTATTCCTGTGTCAGGCCTTAGTTACAATAGCTCCTCAAAAAGTCTATATTATAGTCTAATTCCAGTCTTATTTATACCCCAGTTTTAGGCTGAGCTGTCCCAGTATGCTCCTGTTGCTCAAGAGAGTCTTCTAATTTTTCAGTTTCTGTTGCTGGCTTAGTCTGAGCTGATATTCCTGTTCTTTCAAGGAGTAGTTTTATTATGACCCCAGCTTCTACTCAACTCCCTAATTCGTTCCTCTTCTCTTTACTATTTAAATCAGGATGTAGCATGTGTTCAGGGAAGATTTGTACCTCTGGTGTGAGAGCTGCTGAGCCCTTTTCATAGCTACTTTCCACCTTTGGTGTCAACCTGATCCACATAACTCTCACAAGGGGCTCCAAGAAGCTGTAGCACGTACAGCAGCCATGCCCTGGTAAACTGTTTCAGCAAATGGGTTAAACAAAGTTGAGGATAACCAAGGGGTCTTCAAATCAGTAAGTGAATTAGTCTACCCCAATGTGAAGACTACTCTTGGTGGAATGGGCAGATGGAAACAATTTGTTCCAACGGCCATGAATACAGCTGAAGCTGGTGCTGTGAAGTGCTTAGAGCCTGGTTAGATATCAAAGACACCAAGGTCATCTACTGTAGCTTGAGCCCTCACTAGTTGTCTTGACTTTGTCATGCCACTGGACTGTGATGATTCTGTATCAGAGAGTGAGGCCAATGACTTCATGCAACTCTGCCTCACTTAAATCCAATTTATGCACAAACCAAAAGACATAACCCATATAATTTTACCACTGTTAGCTATTTCAAAGTCTTGTGGTGACAGGCCAGTGACTAGCAGCAGGTGTGGATACATTGGGAGTTGTACTCACAACTCTGCACACAGGTGGCCCAGGCCATAGGGTCTTCTTCTCATGGAAGCAGCAATGGGATTTGGCAGTCCCCTTGGGTGTCTGAGCATCCTTTTAAGGATCACACTGCTCACCTTCTAATATGAGGAAAGGGTGCCCTAAAAATTGTCTTTTTACCCAACCCTGGTTTGATTACCAAGACAGGTGGGGATTTCACCCTGAGGTCAAAACACAAAACTTCTACAAAGATGACTCCACTCACCATCAGTATATGGAATGTGTGCACACTTACAGACAACACAAAATCCAGTAGACCTGAAAGACAAACAGCTCCTGTTGCAAGGGAATTCAGCAGGTATCACATCCAAATAGCAGCTCTAAGTGAAACAAGGCTGGCAAATGAAGGCCAGATTACTGAAGACGGAGCTGGATATATGTTTTTCTGGAGTGGCTACAGTAAGAGGGAGCACTGTGAAGTTGGTGTAGGTTTTGCGATCAAAACTAATCTAGTCAACAAGCTTGCATGTCCTACTGAAAGGAATGAACGACAGGCTCATGACAATGTGATTGCCACTTGCAGGAAAACTACATGCCACTATCATTAGTGCCTATGCTCCCTGATGACGTCAAAGAAAAATTTTATGAAGACCCAGAGACCGTTATCATCAATGTGACAAAAGAGGACAAGCTTATAATTCTGGATGACTTTAATGCTAGAGTAGGCTTAGACTACCAGACATGGCAGGGAGTCTTTAGGAGGAATGGAGTTAGAAGCAGCAACAGCAATGGTCATTTACTACTGAAGACTTGTACATCTCATAACCTTCTCATCATCGGTACTGTCTTCCATTTACCTAAATGCAATAAAACTGCACGGACGCATCCTCGCAGCAAACATTGGCATTTAATAGACTATGTGATTGTAAGGAGAAGAGACAGACAGGATGTGAGAGTGACAAAGGCAATGTGCGGCACAGAGTACTGGACTGATCACAGACTTATGCTCTCCAAGCTAAATATTCACATTCAACAAAAGCAGTGGACCCAAGGCAAAATGATTACCAGAAGAATTAATGTCAATATATATTAGAGCATTTCTGAGCAGGAACAGTTTGTTTCTAACTTGGAGGGAAAGTTGAGCTAACCCTCAGT